GTTGGGAGACCAGAAACAGTAACATATGATAATGCCTCCTTCAACGGGGTACAAAAAGTTGTCACGCCACAAGTGAGATGGAGAGGTATGTTTTATCATATAGTACTAATGCTCCCCTAATTAATTAATCAAATGGGACACATTACAGCTTTTCTTTTTTTCACCTAGAAAACCCAATTGCAATCATGAGTTACCCTAATACTATATGACTATCTAAATAATTTTATTACTATATCTTAAACTGCTCTATCATATGTTGAACAATGGGGAGGAAAGCATGCCTTATTAACAATTTATATCTGTACATTAGTTACCTAAATTACTCAGACAGGTACCCTACTTTTTATCATTAATTATTTAGTATATGTGCATAATAATTTCACCATCTTCCACGCCGTCCTCTACATAGCTATCTTGCATCTCCAAAACTGTCACAGAAATGGTTAATAAACAATTGAGAATTTGTTTTAACACATGTTCAGTTTTCCACATGTTGTGTGGTCCAAATATCATCACCTTCAGTCCTGCAAAAAATGACGTTCACTCATGGTGACATAAGTTAGGCAATAAAGCAAGTAATATTTTGACCTAAAATGGGCATTGCTTTAGCGGCGGAGTTACTATGCATTGCAATGTAAGCTATAATGACAACTAGTAATTGAGCCAGGATTTTCACTAAAGGGACCCAAAAAAACAAAGTAACAACACGAAGAAACCAAAGAAAAGCACCATACACAATAAAATAATTCGATAGGGAGTTTGGATAACCCCTTTAGCTCCGACCCCTGATGGCATTCCCTTAGCTATAAGTCTATAACCATACACGTAGATAAAATTTTAAGTAGCAGTAAAGGAATAGTAATATAATCAAAAACTTGAAGGGGAGAAAAGTCGAATAGCATGACAAATAGGGCATAGAGTGTAAGGTGATTGAAATTTACAGGTTCTAATGGGGGAAACAAGTATAGTGGTCATTCAATTAAAACTTTAGCTCATTTAGCATTTTGAGTGGGTCATTAGCATAAATGAGTGCTCAGGAGCTTATGTTAATGAACAAAGATCAAGAACCAGGAAAAGATGCATCAAAATATTCCTATCTCAAGGAAAAGAAAAGCCATCCAAACTCACTCTAAAATCCATAGGGCCAATATATAATCAATTATTTCTGTATTTGTGCAACTCAAACTTCATCACTGGAGGGCTGTAGTGTTTTCATAATTGTCAGTAGAAACACATGCTACACTACTATCAATCATCAAAGAAATATGCAGCAATCAATCTATGAATTGCACATGAAACATGAAGGAAGTGGGGAACAAGTGGTGGTGATAGTTAAAAGGGATAGCGGCACTTTGCAAAGTGACTAGGTACCAACCATACTAAGATGCAGGCATAATGAGACTAATCAATGCAATCCCTTCAAGTATACAATTACCGGAGAGTGGTTAACATTACCGCTTCAAACAAAACAAAACTCTATCAGGGGATACATGGCAATCCAAGCCAAAACACAAATACTTGAAAAACCAATGCCTGCAAAAATTTCCAAATTACTTGAATCGTCAATGCGTTAAATGTTACTCGACACACTTTCCATTTTAGTCCGTCCCAAAAAGAATGACACTTTTTCTTATTTAACAAATATTTAATAACACCGTTAGCATTTTACCCATGTTGAATCCCACTTATTTGGCAAAGAAGCCCACAAAAATGTTTTCTTTTAAAAAAAATTCATATATTTTAAAGAGTAGTTTTGAAACATTGCAAAGTCTCCCCATATTTCTTTAACTTAGTTCCCAGTCACACTACATCACATAAATTGGGGTGGAGGGAGTAGTACTCAGCCACCAACAGCTTATTTGTAGGAAAAAAAAAACACTTCCATTCCAAAAAACTTGGAAACTTCACACCAAATTAGAATTGAATAGTTTAGGGAGTGGGTTGGAGTGTGGGCGTTACATGCTTTACAAGCATCCAAAGTAATTGTTCAGCATTGTAACAAGTCTTATCCCAGTTATGGTCTGTCCCTATTCACTAACCTTAACCATCAAGCTTCAGGTGAGCAACAAAATAGATGGGGTTAGCCCTCCATCCACATATGCAGCTGGACCACTAGTGTAGAAGAGATCCCTAGCACTTGAGATGTTTGGCCAAATCACCAGTAGCATGTGACTTCCACTAATCCTTCGGAGTGCAGGAATGGAAAACAGAGTAGATCTCTTTATCGAGGCACCAAACTGTTAGTCCCAATTTATGTCAAATAAGAACACCTGCAAAGTACATTGGATTTTTCCCCACAGCTGAAAGAAGTACATCAATGGAAACAACAAACAAGATGAAAAGACAGAAAAAGAATACACAAAATACAGAGAAAAACTAAAACAATCTGACAGCAACATAAATCCAACTTTTAAGCCCAAATTGATGATGTGACATTGTTAACAGACATACTGAAAAGTAAATTACCATCACAAAAGGATCAATGAATGCAAATTCATCTAGTTTTTATCCTAAAGAAAGACATTGATGATTCAATCGATGTAATAAGATTCCCAATAACCAAATTCATCTGTTATTCTAGTGATATTTTTTTTAACTTTTCTTTGTCCTCTTACAGATTGATCCTTTCTTGTGATCTTGCTGCAAAGTTCAACACTTTCAAGTGTTCCAATTCCAAGAACCTTAAATTTAGTAACAGTGAGCAACTACAGATAATATCTTCATCGTTTTCAGTTCAAGCAACTCAGATATTTCAACTAACATGAAAATATTATAAGTTCATAAGACCTACAATCAAATGGAAGAAAATTATCTCAAAAGACCTACAATCTCTTCAAATCCTTGCAGATTTGGCTAAAAATAGATCCTGATAAAATAAAAAGATCCATGTAGACAGCAGAAATTAGTAGAAAATGTAGAGAACTTGTAATGTTAGAATCCAAGTTATTGAACATTGGCATGAAACAGGTGCAGATGAAGCAAAGTAGAAAGTGGGGATTCATATAACCAATACCAACCAGTTTGGGATTGAGGTGTAGTAGTTGTTTATAAAGAAAAAGGGGAAGCATCAAAGCAACTATGAAAAAAAAACCAGTCAAAGGCACAAACAAATACCTTTCAAAAAGATCAAAGGCACTAAAAGAAATCTAACATTCATATCAAAAGAGGCCCAAAAAAACCATATACATACAAAAGCTAAAAATTGCACCACATATATGCACCACGTGCTTGATTCAGCTCCTGAGTTTTCAATGTCAAGCATTAATTGATATATAAACGTGAGAAAACTGAAGTCAACAATTTGATTATTTTTCAGATGTATCAACAATGACATAGAACCCTACTCATCAAGGACAACCAGGATATCGCCAAGGTTGCGCTCTCAAACAGAACAAGTAAAGGCCTCTTTGTGGCACTTGAATTGCACGAACCAATTAATGAGTAACCTCAAATCTACCAAAAAATGGAAATGGAAGAAATCCCTATTGCCATCAAACTTCAAAAATAGAACAGAGGAAGCTGGATGACAATGTTGAACGGACTTAAGCAAATAAGATAAAGAGGACAAACAGACACGAACAAATAAGTTACCTTAAAGGGTTCCACAGACCAGGCACTAAAAGTCAGCCTGAGGATCAGAAGCTTAGTGCAACATTTGGAACTATTGGGTTTAATTTACTCCTGACAGGTGAATGAGGAATCCATAACTATGATATCCAGATTCTTCCAGTGGTTGGTGCAGACTTCCTTACAGCCGCGTGAACCAACAGTGATATCAAGATACAAAATTAATCAGATCAAAAGCTAACAGCACAAACTCACAGCTCAAGTAATTAGCCAGCCACCTTAAAAACATTTTTTTGCACATAACAAATTCACGATTTCAGTTACACCAAGTATATTTGTGGCGAGATGAACACCAACATACTTAATCTGACCTTGATCCCACAATAATCGCTCAGTATGATAATAGATAACCAGTGTGATAAAAATGAAATACATTTGGATTACATAAAGTGATTCATTATGGAAAAACTCTGCAGGAACTTCATTAATTTTTTCAACCATTTTATCGCCGAAAAGCATTGCCTTCTGAAGCTTCTGCTCTCTGTGAATAATGTGTTCGGCGACGAACACTTTCCTCAATTGTGGAGCTTCCTCCCTTTCCAGCACCATAAACACTTCTTTGAGCAGCGTCCAGAAAATTCCTACCACCAGACGAGCCAGCATGTACAGCTTCCTTAGCATCTTTTTCCTCTGCCTTCTTAAGTCTTTTCCATCTTTGCTCCTCATGGACCTCAGCATCTTTCTGCATCTCCTGTAGACGGGCAGCTCTCTCTTCTTCAGAAAGCCTAACAGGCTTGCGAGAGTTATGACGCGACTCGTGCCTTGGAGGATCGGATCTTGGCTGCTCACGAGAGTTACGATGGGATTCGTCCCTAGGTATATCAGATCTTGTCTGCTCACGAGAGTTACGATGGGATTCGTCCCTTGGTATATCAGATCTTGTCTGCTCACGAGAGTTACGATGGGATTCGTCCCTTGGTATATCAGATCTTGTCTGCTCACGAGAGTTACGATGGGATTCATGCCTTGGTATATCAGATCTTGTCTGCTCACGAGAGTTACGATGGGATTCATGCCTTGGTATATCAGATCTTGTCTGCTCACGAGAGTTACGATGGGATTCATGCCTTGGTATATCAGATCTTGTCTGCTCACGAGAGTTACGATGGGATTCATGCCTTGGTATATCAGATCTTGTCTGCTCACGAGAGTTACGATGGGATTCATGCCTTGGTATATCAGATCTTGTCTGCTCACGAGAGTTACGATGGGATTCATGCCTTGGTATATCAGATCTTGTCTGCTCACGAGAGTTACGATGGGATTCATGCCTTGGTATATCAGATCTTGTCTGCTCACGAGAGTTACGATGGGATTCATGCCTTGGTATATCAGATCTTGTCTGCTCACGAGAGTTACGATGGGATTCATGCCTTGGTATATCAGATCTTGTCTGCTCACGAGAGTTACGATGGGATTCATGCCTTGGTATATCAGATCTTGTCTGCTCACGAGAGTTACGATGGGATTCTTGCCTTGGCAGATCAGATCTTGCCTGCCTCTCATGTTTCACAGCTTCATTATCATTCCTAATCTTAGTTTTTTCTTTGTCAAAATCATTGCCTCCTTCAGGATCTCGTAAGAGAGACAATTTCTGATCATTAATCCTCTTGTCCCTGCGAGACTCTCTCTTTCTCCTGGAATCATCTTCGCTCGAGTATTCATCTGGATCAAAGGTTTGTCTAGGTGAAGAATTCCTCAAATGCTTCGATTTCGAGTTGTGATGCTTTGATTTCTTGTCTCGATGTTTATGTCTGTGTTCATCCTTCTCTTTCTCATCATGCATCTTATCCTTATTTTTCATTGTTTCAACAGATTTACGAATCATGGCCATCTGGACAGGGTTGTTCTTCACACGTGCAAGGGCTTCTTGCTCTCGCTGACGAATCATAAGCAAGGGATCAGAATGGAGTTTTCTCCAAGCATCATTGGAAGATTGTGGCTTGTCCTCAAATAGAGCTCCTGGCACAGATGCTTGCGGTTTGGCAGAAGAACTGGAATCAGCAGCAGTTACAGCAGCTGTTACAGGTTCAGCCGGCTTGGACAAAGATTCAAACCCACTAGAACTTCCCTTTCCAACAGCTAATCCAGAATCATAAAGAAATTCCAGCCTCTCTTGCCTGGTAACCAAGCCAGCTTGTTCCTGGAGTTGGCGAAATTCACTGCGCTCACGCTCCTCCTGGATCTGCTTGCGGAGCTCCTCCAACTTCCTCTGTTCGGCGTCATGCTTCTGCTCTGCTTTCCATACATTTTCAATGTTCCGAAGACTCCCCGTGTGCCATCCCTTCTTATTCAGAAACTTCAGAGCCATCAAAAATCCACAAAACTTAACACTGATTCCAACTCCCAAATAAGACACACTATCAAAGGACGGAAATTTCTCTCTTGCTTACCCTTAATACCTGCAAATAAAAGCAACCAAATGGGAGAGTAAGTCAGGAATGAAAATAAGTACAAACAAATTTCGTTACCAACTTGTCTAAATCAACTAAAGAGGCGATCTGGAAGCTAAATAATAGTTTGGATTTCCGAGACAGATTGATAGATAAGAGATTCGTTTTAAATTCTTAATTGTTAGTTGCAGTACATCAGTAATCAAAATTGTTAACTTGAATAATTAGAAGGATTTGACAAATACTTAGATCTGTGACTTCCCCAAAGTGCTGAAACTCCACAACCCCAAATGAAAACACTCCATCTTTTAGCCTCTGATTTCACGTTTTCTGATTTAAAAATCCGCAGAAAGTTTATTGGTAATACTTCACGGGCAAGATTAGTACCCACAAACCCGCCTTGAAGCAATTACAACATCGAAAGCATATAAGAACGCAAAATCAGCTTGAAAATAATAAAAGCACTGTAGAAAACGGATTGAAGAATTTCTATCTACGATAAGAGTTGACAAAGAAAAAAAAGCATTAGAAACAATTCAAACCTAGATAAACTTTACCAATTAACATAAAGAAATCTATTTGAATTAGGGTTTTGGAGAATATCTAGAATAGGAGATGAAAAAAGGGAGAGGGAGATGAAGAAACTTACAGGTCGATTACCGCCGAGAAAGAGATGCGTACGTCGCCATTGGAGATTTGACGCCGCCGGATAGTATAACAGTCTATCGAATCCCGTCTGATATTTTCTTGATATTTCCTTTTCCTAAACTATTTATTAGTTATTACTACTGTATTATATTACTATAAAATAATAATTGCATTAAATTTGCAAATAATCATTTACTAATATCCATACATTATAAATAATAATAAAAAATAGGTTCTTAAAAAAATATTAGCAATATTCCAACATGAATTTGATTATTTGTCATTATCACATAACTCAACAACTTCTAATGAATGAATTATTCAGGAAATAATAAATCATTGATTCTTTAATCAACATTAAAAGGAAAATAAATAAGAAAATAAGAATATATATATACAAAGGTATTTCATAAGAAAAAAGAACATGTGTTAAGTTGCATATATTATACAATTGTGATATATGTCTCAGGAAAAAATCCAAAAATTTGTTAACAGATTCAAAAAAAAATTACGCTTGAACATGAAAGCAATTACTCCTTCTGTCCCAATTTATGTGACACATTTCAGATTTTGAGATTCAAACAAGTCTATCTTTGACCGTAAATTTTTCATATATCTTTTAAATATTTTGAATTATCAATTATTGTGACTTATAATACTTTTTATGTAATTTACAAATATATAAATTTCATTTTAAAAAATTTGAAGATTCCATGAGCAAATTCTCGGTCAAACTTAAATTGTTTGACTTTCAAAAAGTAAAATGTGTCACATAAATTGGGACAGAGTGAGTATAACTTTTGGACATGCATAATGAATTTCTTCAATTGATAAGTGAGAAACTTCATATATATGTAAAAATAGATAATATGTAAGCTTATATATAATACTTTTAAGTTATAGAATTTTATATAGAATATCAAAACATGAATTCTTGGAAGCAAGTACAATAATTATTTTATGTACAATGAATATACCTACTATATGTGTATATGTTCAATATAATCAGAGACAATAATTTTGCTGAAACAAAAGTACAAAACAATAGAGTTTAAAACATATACTCAAAAACAATAATTAATACCATAAGTATAAATTAATGACCGTAAAAAAACCATATCAGAATATGCAAAAATAGAATGAAATAAAAAGGAAAAAAACGAGTCTACTGAATGCACAGTATGCCCTTAAAAAATTTATTCCCCTCTAATACTTGTGGTTTAAAGAATTAGACCCTCTCAGGATGGACGATTTTATTCACCAACATATTGATACAAAAACAATGGTGTCAGTAAGCCACTCAACATGAGCAAAATACACGAATATTTAATTGTGCAAAAGAAGAAGAAGAAGTTCAGAATTTTCGTTGTTTTAAAATGAAAGAAAATCCCTCTATTTATAGACAACAAAGGGTAGTGTGAATAAATGTTTGTTGTGCCTTATCGAAAAGGTCACAACTCTTTGGAAAAGTCACAACCCTTCAGAAAGGTCATGACTTTTCATAAACGTCACAACCTTTCATAAAAGTCGCAACTCTTTATAAAAGTCACAACTTTTCATAATATTCACAATTTTTCATAAAAGTCACAACTTTTCATGAAAGGGAAAGGCTAGTTTTGGAAACAAATTAATTAAAGGGAATCCTAATTTGTGGTGGTGCCACGTATGCGGGTTTAGGGTTCTCTTTCATATATATTACTCTTATTTAGAAATGGGAGTTTGGAGGACCAACATTGCACTAAAGAATTGGACTAAAAGCTATAGAAATTGTACATTGAGGCCCACCAAAAAGATGAACTAAAGTAACTTCATCTACTTCTACTTTTTCTACACATATTTTTCTTTAATAAAATAATTATTGCCTCCATTTTTATTTTTATTTTTAACATTTATTTTTAATTTTAAAACATTGGAAATTTTATGTTAAAAATTTTAATAATAGAAAAAATGATTTATTTAACTTTTATCATCATCAATACTACTAATTTATTTGACGTTTTTTCTTAATCTTCATCTCATCATTAATGTTATTTATATAATTTTCTTAAATCACTTATTTTTTCTTTTTTAACTCTTTTAT